TAGGACCTCCCTACAACCCTGCCATTTTCAAAGAGAAATGCTTACCCCAGCTTTCTTTCCCAGAACTTCTAGAAATATCAGCTAGGATTCCCAAGACTTGTGTGCAAACTTCTTCAACTCCTCAATCTGTGAGCTCCCTGGGCCCAGTGACAGACCCCAATGACATCCTCAACAGCCAGGGAATGCCCCCTATCCATGCCCTCTTGGATCTTGGTTGAGAGAACAGTCAATGCCTAAAAACATAATCTAAATGGGAAAAGACTTTGACAAAGAATGTATACATGTATATGTATGGGCTTCCCCAGTGGCTCAGTGGTAAAGAATCCACCTGCAATGAAGGAAACATAGGAGACGTAAATTTGCTCACTAGGTTGGGAAGATCCCCGGGAGGAGGACATAACAACCCACTCCAGTATTCTTGCCTGGAGAATTCCATAGACAGAGGAGTCTAGTGGACCAAGTCCACAGGGTCACAAAGAATTAGATGCAACTGAAGCAACTGAGCATGCATATATATGTGTAACTGAGTTACTTTATTGTATACTTGAAACTAATACGGTATTGTTAAGCAATTGTGCTCCAACATTAAAAAACAAACAAAAAAAGCAACTAAAGACATTTGACCCAAGTTGCCAAGTGCCTTGTCTGCTGGCTGCTTTGTAAGCCTGTGAAAGAGATATGGTGCTTGCCACCATTGGTATATTGAGGCCCAGGGGATGGAAGAAGATATTCATGCAAATGGAAATTAAAAGAAAGCTAGAGCAGCAATAGTCATATCAGACGAAAATAGACTTTAAAATAAGGACCATTGTAAAAGACAAAGAAGGACAGTATATAGTGATCAAGGAATCAATCAAGAAGAAAATATAACAATTGTAAACATATGTGCATCCAACATAGGAGCACTTTAGTATAAATTTGCCATATATATATGGCAAATATCAACAACCATAAAGGGATAAATGACAGTAACACAATGTTAGTCAGTAGTGGGGGACTTTAACACCCCACTTTCATCAATGGACAGATCATTCAGACAGAAAATCAACAAGGAAACACAGGCCTTAAACAGCACATTAGACCAGATGGACTTTAATTAATATTAATAGGGTGTTTCATCCAAAAGTGGCAGAATACACATTCTTCTTGAGTGCACATGGAACATTCTCCAGGATTGACCACATGCTGGGTCACAAAGCAAGCCTTGGTAAATTAAAAAAAAATTGATATCATATCAAGCATTTTTCTGATCACAACACTATGAAATTAGAAATAAGTTACAAAGAAAAAAAATAGCAAAAAAACACAAACATGTGGAAACTAACAATATGCTACTAAACTGAGGCCCAGGGTGGGAAGGTTCAACCTGAGCTGCAGAATCAGAACAAGAGGGTTGGTCTCAAGAAATGCCAGCTTTGGGACTTCCTGGTGGTCTCCTGGCTAGGAATCTGCCTTGTAATGAAGAGGACACTGGTCTGATCCTTGGTCTGGGAAGATCCCATATGCCTCAGGGTAACTAAACCTGTGCACCACAGCTACTGAGACAGCTCTCCAGAGCCCATGAACTGCAATTACTGAAGCCTGAGCACCTAGAGCCTATGGGCCCCACCAAGAGGAGCCACCGCAGTGAGAAACCCATGCCCTGCAACAAAGAGTAGCCCCTGCTTGCCAAAATTAGAAAAAGCCCAGGTGCAGCAATGCAGACCCATTATGCCCTCCCCCCAAATAAGAATAGTAAATAAATAAATCTTTTTTGAAAAGAATTGTGTCAGCTGCAAAATACTCCTCTATCAAAAAATAAAGCCATTGTAAACCAACTCTACTTCCATAAAAAAGTAATTACATATATATATAACACTTATATATATATGTAACATTTTCTATTTATATATAATATTTACTGAGGTATAATTCACATGCTGAACAATTCACCCTTTTAAAGTATGTAATTCAGTGGTTTCCAGCATAGTCACAGAGTTGTAAAATCATGGCCACTATCTACTTCCCAAACATTTTAATCACCCCCCAAAGAAACTTCATTTCTATTGGTATTCGTTCCCCACCCAATTCTCCCCATCACCTCCCAGGTCCAGGCATCCACTAACTCATATTCTGTCTCTGTATTTGCCTGTTCTGGACATTTTGTATAAATGGAATTGTACACTGTGTGGCCTCTTGTGTCTGGGTTGTTTCACTGAGCATTCTATTTTCAAGGTTCATTCACACTGTAGCCTATGTCAGTGCTTCACTCCTTTTTAAGGCTGAATAATATTCTATTGTATGGATGGACCACATCTGATTTATCCATTCATCAGTTGATGGACATCTGGACTGTTTCTACCTTTGGCTATTAGGAATAATGCTGTTATAGATATTCGTGTTCTCATTTCCCTTGGGTAGAGATACCTAGGAGTGGAATTGCTGGATGGTATGGTGGCTGTCTCCTTCACCACTTGAGAAACTGCCAAACTCTTTTCCACAGCAGCTGTAACATTTTATGTCCCCACCAGCTACAAATGAGGGTTCCAGTTTCTCCCCCATCCTCATCAATGCTTGTTCTGGTCTGTCTTTTTGATTCAAGCCACCCTAGCAGGGGTGAAGTGGTGTCTCCTTGTGGTTTTGATTTGCATTTCTCTGATGACTAGTGATGTTGGGTAACTTTTCATGAGCTTGATTGGTTATTTATGTTTCTTTCTTTCTTTTTTTTAGAAATGTCTATTTAAATCCTTTACCTTTTAAAAAAAATTGGTAGTGTTTTTATTGTTGAGTTTAAGACTTCTTTATACATCATATAAATAGTAGACCCTTATCAGATCTACAATTTGCAAATGTTTTCTCCCATTCTGTGGGTTTTTCTTTCACTTTCTCGATGGTGTTCTTTCAAACACATAGGTTCAAAATACTTTAGACATAATTTTTATTTTATTATAAGTCATAAGTGCAGGATACAAAATTCAAAAGATCAAAGAGAGCGAACAGGAGCTGTCTCAGTCTGCTTCCCATCCCAAAAGCAACCCCTGTTGATGGTCAAAAGAATTATCTGTTCAAATGTTATATAACTTTGCAGCCTAGCGCTCGTAATTGGAATTCAAGTCCCTCTGCTCAAATGCAGTGTGTATTTGGTAAATTTGCTGAGTTTACCCTCTCTGGGTCTTCAATGTCTTTATCGTGTACATCAGGGATGATAATCCCGGGTTCCACAGATGAATTAAAATAGCACACAGAAGTAGAATTCAGAAAAGGAGAGCTGGTATTACAACTCACCCTAGACCAAATCTATTTTGAGGCAAGTTTCAAATATTTAACAATTTTTATATTGCTTTATTGCTATGATGGAGTTGGTCCTGATACATTCCAAGAACCCTTTAGCCAAGCATCTTAAGTAGGGGTCTGCCAATGAGATTAAAAAAAAAAAAAAGCCTTGAGTGTGTGTGAAGTTTTTACCTTGGGAGATGTGGGTCTTGCCTCTATCCTGGCCAGGAACAGGGCATGGCAGTCAGGGTACAGCCCAAATAAAAATAATAATCACAGCAATAACAACATAATCCCATCTGTCCTGTGTTGAGGACCTCCCACCAGCAGGTACCATGCTGTTTAAGTATATTACATGTACCATCTTGATTCTCCTTTGTCACAACCCTAGGAAGTCTCTCCCATTACTCTTTTTTAATTTTTAAAATAAAATTTTAAAAAAGGTTTATTATTTTTTTGGACATGTTGTGGCATTTGAGGGAATCTTAGTTCCCTGACCAGGGATCAAACATGTGCCCCACTGCAGTGGAAGCTTGAAGTCTTAACCACTGGACCACCAGGGAAGTCTCTCCGATTATTCTCTATAGAGGACTCTGAGGATCAGAGAGGTTAAGTAGTCTGGCCAAGGTCACACAGCAACTCAATCTTTTATACTTTATTAGGTTTTTTAACTAGCATCTGCTTGGGTATCTTTTTGGGGGGCAGGAGAGGGGGTGGAACTGAGGAGTGGGGGTTAGGACAAAGCTTTACCCACCTCCCTCTCTTTTCATTGCAGGGGCAGGATTGGGCACAGGGTACGCCATTCTGGCATTTCCTCAAGGACCTGCCTGCAGACCCTCTGGCAGGGTCCAGAGCCAGATGAAGCTGGATCCAACATCCTTGGGCTCTCTCCCTCTCTGGGTCTCAATTTCCTCAAATGTAAAATGGAAATCACATAATCCCTGCTCTTTCCTGGGGCCTGATAAGGATTATATTCAGTGCCAATCTTACATGTAAGTTCTCTTGCCCTTTCTGAGTCAGGTTATCAACTGCCGAGGAGAGTACCAGATATCTGAGGCTGCGTGGTACAGAGGGGACACTGAGTCACCCCTCTCTGGCTGAGTGGGTGGAGCTTGCGGGATGGCAAGTAAGACCATTTAGGACGAAGGTCTGAGCTTCAGGTATCTACAGAGCCCAAGTGCTATCCTGGGACCTGCAAACTGTGTTTCTGCTTGGCCCTTCTCTTCCCAGGGTGGATGAGAGGGTGGTTTAAAGAAGGAAGAGGGCTTATTTCCCAGGCAGGGTCGTTAGAGCAAAGTCCCTGGGTTCCGCCCTCACTCTGGATGGCTGTGGCCCCTCCCTCAGTCCCTTTCCACCTACCCAGGGGCTGGTTTCAGGCTGCAAGTCCTGGGGCTGTCACTTCCCTTCTGGGGACCTCCAGGGTTTCCCCTTAAAGACAAATTATTAATACAAAAGCCCATTCACCCCGTTAGGGAGTGGAGAGGCAGTAAGGTGCAGGAGGTTGGGGTGGAGAGGTGGAAAGCTTTGAAGTCAGAGACAGACAGATGTGCGTTTCACTAACGGCAGTGGAACTTTCCTGCATGTAAGGTAATGGTGGTAAAAAATGATAATAACAAGAAACAATGATCATGGTCATGGCATTAGATGTTGGAATGGAAGTAAAAAGGACCCCGGACAGAGCCAGCCACCTGAGAAGCGCTCAGTAAACGACCGCTGTGGAGCAGGTGCAGCCCTCTCCGACCAAGGAAATGAGGAAGGGGGAAACTGAGGCGCAGAGCCCCCGCCAGGCGGCTGATCGCACCAGCCAGCCCTGCTCGGGTGCCTACTGTGTGCAGCGGGCAGGCGGCCTGGCCGGGTCATTCTGTTCTCACCGCTCGTCCCCCTCCTCCCCCTCCCCCGTCCCCCCGCCGGACCTCTCCCACGACCGGGGAGGAAGTGGGAGAAATGGACAGGGGAAAAAAAAAAGTTGGGCTGAGCCAACGCCTCCCCACTCCCCACCTCCGCCCCTCCCGAGCCACGGAGACCCTTGCGGGAGCGGACCGCAGGACTCAGGCGTCCGGGGCCGGGGCCGCGTCCCGCCCAGTGGCCCGCAGTTGGGTGGGGGAACTTGGAAAGCCGGGAAAACAACAGCCCAGCCCGCCCCTCGCCAACCCCTTCCCCCGCTACGCCCCTTGGCGCAGCGGGCGGAGGCGACTCCTTTATATAATCGCGGGCGAGCAGGTTGGCTGTTTCATTTAGGGACCCGGGAGCCCAGCGGACCCGAGCCGTCAGCCGAAAGCCCGCCCCCGGGTCCCCTTCCGCAGCTGGGCAAACTGAGGCCCCCGGAGAGGGCGGGCGCCAGGCCCGCGGTCCCCACCCCTTCGCCCCCCACCCACCCCCAGCAGCCAGGGCAGCCGCGACCCACGCCCGCGTCGGTCCTCGCAGTGCGCACAGCCCTCCCCGCCCCCGCTGCCATCCTGCCACGCCCCAGGCGTCGGGGGCAAAGCCCGCGCCCCCCCTCACCCGCCTCCGCGCAGAGGCTGGGGGCCTGTTTATCTGGAGGCCCCCACCCCCCCTCCACCCCGGGGGGCCCGCTCCCCCCGCGCCCCGGGGAGCTCTGGGGCCAGATAAGCTGGCAGGCTGGCACGGCGCCGCGCAGCGGGGCGGAGAGGTCAGAGGAGCGGGGGCGCGCCGGGGGCGGGCTGGACCCCCCCCCAACTTGACAAAACCTAATAACAGCCCGGTCTCCCCGGCGCAGCGGGCGAAGCCCCACGGGAGGGCAGAGACGTGGCAAGAGGGGACCTGCCGAGCCTGTTCTGGCCTCTGAGGCCGGGGTGGGGGGGGGGGCAGGGCGTGGGGGGGGGCCGGCGGCTGCGGCACCTTTAAGACAAGGGAGGACCCCTCTTGCCCTCGGAGAAACCAGGAAGGGAGTCGCGAGCATCATACGGGGCTTTGGCTGTACTGTACAGTTACTGTAGGGGCAGTGACGCCGCCGCCGGAGCGAGGGAGCGACGAGGGGAGAGCCAGCGAGGGGAGAGCTAGACGCGGACCCCAGAGGCGAGCGGCCAAGGAACCCAGTCCGAACTCCGGGCCCCGGCCCCGCGCGCCCCGGCCCCGGCCCGGCCCCGCGAGGTAAGGCAGCGCCCGACGCGGCCCCCAGCTAGGGGTGCAGGGCGGGGACGGGCCGGGGGCACTGCGCCCACCGCTGCCCTCTCGGGAAGGGGCGATCCCTGGAGCCGGGGACGTTCCGCAAGTTTCAGAGGAGGGGGTGGTTGGCAGCTGCCTGGAGGCGGGAGGCGCCCTGGATCCCGAGCTCGGGGAGGGGGCGCCGCCCGGGAAGGGGTATTGGGGGCGAAGTGCACGGGTTTGTGCGGCAGCCCCCCCGCCTCCGTGCATGGTTTTGGGGGGCCCCCAGGCGCGCGGGGAGAGGGGGAGGGGAAGCGGGGCTGCATTGAGGGTGGGGGGAGCCGGCGTGGGGAGATAGGGGGCGCGTCGCATGCTAAGTTTGCAGCTGGGTACTGGGGGCGCTCTTGCCCCCCGGGGGCCTATTCGGTGTTGCGTGCATACGTTGGAGTTGGCCAGGATTGAGCTCCATGGGGGATGGGGGGGAGGGGGCTGAAAAAACAGGGAGGGGGGCTTTGCAAAGGAGGGGGAAGGGGTGGGGTGTCCGGGTGGGCGGGCGCGGCCGCTTGGGTCTCTGGGCGTCGTAGTTCCCCCGCGCTTGTGGCTGGCAGGTGGCAGGCGGCTAGGACTACTAGTTCCAGGGTGCCCTGCGCCGGCAGCCCGCCGCGGTCCGCGGGTAGGGGCGGTGCGGAGGAGGGGCGGTGAGCGGCGGGCTGGCGAGCCAATGACCGCGGGCCGATAGCGCGGCGCGGCTCGAGGGCGGTCCCTGCCGGTCCGGGGGCGGGGTCTGGAGCCGGGCTCCCCTTGCCGGGGGCCGGTGGCGGTCCCCGGCTTCCGGCTGCGCGGCCCGCGGGCCGGCCCCCTCCCCGCCCCGGGGCCCCTCCCCGCCTGGTTGTGTAACCGTCCCCAGCCCCCCTCCCCTCAGCCCCCCGCCCCCCGGGGGGGGGTCACCCACCAGGCGCTCCCCGGGGAGGGCGGCGGCCCGAGCGGCCGCGAGGAGCAGGCGAGCCCGGGGATGCGCGGCCTAGTGCAGGCTGGGCCCGGGCGTGGGGGAGGCGGGCGGGCGGACCCAGATCCGGGGTAATTTGCATCGCCCTCCCCCCAGCCCGGGTGGGGATTGGCCGCCGGCGGCGGGGGGTGGCGCGGGGCCAGGCTCACTGCCGCCTCCCGGCCCCTCGGAGGGAGCCAGCCCAGCCGCAGCCGCCGTCACCGCCGCCGCCGGGGCCGGGCCCCCTCGCCGCTGCCCCGGGAAGGAGGTAGGAGCACCCCGCGCTGGCGGCGCGGTGGGGGCCCGCGGGCCGGGGCGGGGGCTGAGCGCTGCGGCCGGGGCGGGGGAGGGGGCCGCTTCCTGCCCCCGCCCGGGCCTGACTCAGCCTTGGGCGGGGGGACCGGCCTGGCCCCTTGCCCTGCCCGCGCGGCCGTCCGGCCCTGGCCCCGGGTGAGGGGACAGAGAGTACCCCTCTCCCCCGCCCGCGCCCCCAAAGCGCGTGACCCCGTCTCCTCTGGCCCGGACACCCCTCCTTCCCCTTGACGCCACCACCACGTGCGAACCCTGAGCCCGAGCAGAGGAGGGGGTAAGCTGGTGGGATCCGGCCCCCTCCCTCGCCCTCTCTCCCTCCATGGCCTAGGAACCGGCCCCCTCCCCCAGCCCCGGGCCTGGGAACCAGGCAGGGGCCTGAGCTGAGCGCTGGGGACGGTGCACCCCCATGGGCCCAGGCCTTTGCGGGTCCTGGGAGGCACTGTCCGCGCCGGCTGGCCGGTGGTGGGGGAGTCCAGTGGCCCGCAGCAAGAGACTGCTGTCCAACCAGGCCCCGGCACCCAGTGGGCGCCTGCTGAATGTTTGGGGAAGGTAGCCAGCACTTGGCGGGGTGGCAGGGGGAGGCAGGCAACTCCTCTCTTCCCCTAGCCAGGCGGCGGAAGTGAGAGAGGTGCTGGTGCCCCTCCACCGGGTGTGCCCACCTGGCTCACCCATGTGTGGCGGGCTTGGTTTGCACCCCCCCCACCCGCCGCCTCCCAGAGCAGGGCCGGAGCAGGCCTGGCCGGAGAGGGCGTCCAGGATTCCGTGTCAGCCCCCCCCTCTCCAGCAGGGCCAGGGCGTAACCCCGAGTGCGCCGCTCCCACACTGGGGGGGCCCTCCCCAGGGTCAGCGGATCACTTCCTACTGGGGAGTCCAGGCTGGGCTCTGCTGCTGCCCAGGCCTCCATGGCTCCAGGCTGGGGGCATTCTCCCCCGTGGGCCACCCCCAGTGGGGCCCTTAGATCACTCGGGCCTGGCACTTATCGGCTGGGCTCGGGGCTCTGTTTACCGCCAGCCATCGCTGTGGAGACGGGAGCCTGGGGGAGAAGGGGGGGGCGGGAGCTGGTGGCTGGAAGAGCGAAGCCCTGGGATCCGCATGCCTAATGAAGGAAAGAGGAGCCATCGGGGACACTGAAATTTTAATTCGTGGGTCACTTTGGGGGGGTATTTATTATTCAGTCCTGATTGGCTACGTGGTGGCCAGTCAGCACCCTGGCCCCAGGCGGGGAGCCACACAGCCCTTAGCACAGGCGCTCAGCAATGGGTGAGTGGCTGCAGGGAACCCCTGCACCCTTTTCTTTGTGTGGCAGACTGAGGCCTGGCCGTGCTCAAGCCTAATGCACTGGGGGCGAGTTCTACAGGCAAGAGCTAGTCCTTCTGTGGGCTTTTTTCCTTCCTTCCTTTTCCCTGGACCCTTGTGACTGATCCAGAGTCTGTTGGACTGGAGGTGGTCCCTGATGCCATGTGAGGGAAACTGAGGCCAGGAAGGAAGGCCCAATACAAGCGTGGGGCCACAGGGCTTAGACAAGCCTCAGAAAGGTGCTGAATGGGGCAGGAGTGACTGAGGCCCAGGGGAAGCAGAGAGCAGGCCAAGGTCACCCAACCAGGGCTGGGTCTGACCCTTGTGGTCTACTGCCCAGATCCGGTGGTATCTAGAGTTCTCTTCATGTCACAGCCAAGGGGCACCTGCTCACCTGTCTTACAGAGGGCCTGGAGGTTGACAGTAGGCACCTGTCAGTCAAATGGAGCCTCTGCCCCAAGAGGACAGTGAGGCTCAGAGAGGGGAGGCAAGGTGTCCAAGGTCACACAGCAAGAGCCTCAGCGTCCCAGCATCCCAGGCCCTTCCCACCCCATCTGAGCTGCAGCCCCACCCCTTGGCACCTTGGTCCTTGGAGACTGTGCATGATTTACAACCCATTATTCCCGAGGAGACCCAGGTTGCCTCACAGAGCCAAGACTTGGGGCCAGGCCCTCTGAAGCAGAGCTGGCCCGAGAAGGGGGTCCACTGGGGTTTCAGATTCCAGCCCACTTGCTCTGTGACCTTGGGCAGGTCCCATAGTCTCTCGGAGCCTGAACATCTGTGTGAAATGAGGTTACTGTGAATTCCCCCACGTACTGCCCGCAGGCCCACCTGTGTTCCCTTTCCTTCCCTCCCTCGTGGAGGAGGCACCTGGGTCAGCTTGGGGTACAGCAGGGATCTTGTTGAGGGGTATGTGTGACTATGACACCCTCCCACCTGTCACCTTGTGCTCCAGGCACCTGATAGACCATAAACTGAGCTGCCACAGCCCTGGGCAGTGGAGACCAGAGGAACAGGCTTGGATGGGGGCCAGTGTGGTCCAGCCTGGCCCTCCCTCACCTCCATCTGAGGCCCACTTAGGAAGGTTGCCTTCCCTCTGCCAGCCTCAGTGTGGCCATCACTACAATGGGGAGATTACCTTTAGCCCCAAAGCGTTGTCCTGAGGATTTACTCTGATTCTCCAGGGATGTTTATCGAGTGACTGCTGGGTGGTGTCAGGGCCCAGGAGAGCCCCTCCTGCGTCTCTGCTCTGAAGCGCCCCCCTGCCCTGAGTTCACAGGTGTCAGCTGGACTCCAGCCTGGCCCCAGGCTCCCTGCGCGACCTTAGGCAGACCTCTCCCTTTTTTTCCTGGGCTATCATAAGGCAATTCTGAGGGGGTGTGAGAATAAGCTGTCCTCAGCCTCCAAGGCCCCCAGGGTGGGGGGATTTAGTCCCCCGCTGGCACCTGGGGCAGTGTGTGTGGGGGCAGGTGGGTGGAGCCCTGGAAGGACTAGTTAGGCGAGATAGAGCCAGACAGACGACCTGTGTTCGAATCCTGCTCCGCCGTGCGACCCGGGCAGGTTGCCTCAGTGACCTGGCCCGTGAAGTGGGGTGGTGATCATAGGCCCCACTTTCCAGAGCTGGGAGGGTTGACACCGGGTCGACCAAGACCTGTTGGGGGACCATCCCCGGCCCTGGGGGGCCTGAGGCCCAAGTTTCTGAAGCAACAGAGCACCAAAGGCGCCCTCTGGAGAATCTGGCCACAGAAGCAGGCCCTCCATCTGTCCCCCAGCAGGCCGGGAACGGCCACGGGGTGGAAGCGTCCCCACCCACGCCTTTCTGGTTCAACTGGAAAACAGGGCCCTGTCCCACCTCCTGTCAGGATGTGTTTGGTAGCCGGGAAGGGCTGGATCTGTAAGCACAGGAGCCTGGGGGCCCCATGGGCCATGCGCCCCTCTGTCTGGTGTTTCTAGGCTGAGCCTTCCACCTGCTCAGGCTGCAGGTGGGGGCGGGGGTGGTGCCTCCAGGTGACAATCTGGATGAAGAGAGGGGCAAGGCTCCTAGAAGTCACCCAGGCCTCTCCTGGGCATCTTGGATAAGCACGTGCAACCTGAGCTAAGGGCAGGGTAGACACTGGTGGGCTTCCATGAAGCCCAGCTTTGGTTACCCCCAGTGACAGGAAGCTTACTCCTTCCACCTCCACTGAAAACAGATCTTGTCTTCTCAGGGCTTCCTCTTGAAACCTGGGCTTGGTGTCAGGACTGCACTTCCTGGCCCAATACAGCGCTCAGAGCGTGGGAACAGGGTGGGCCTTGGCCCCACCCATGAGCTGGGGGTCAGATA